ATGGGTAAGATGTATGTTTCAGTCTGTAAATTGAGGCCAAAAAATTGAACCAGCGAACGTATGCTAACCCCTTAAGACGTTCTAAGCAATCATATGAAATAATTACAATTTATTATGAAAGGTGCGATATGGATTGACAAACTTTTAATATTGTTCCTTGACTTTTGTATAAGTTGTTGAATTTGTTATGGGTTTGAATTTCGCCGGCGTGTTTATATGTTCGTAATTTGTGTGTAATTAATATTGCATCACACACATCAAGCATTCATTCGATGAAAAAAAAACGTGGTTTTCTAATACGCATGCGCACTGCTATATTGGAACGTACAATAGTACTCACTGCACATGTAGATTAGTGGTTTCCATTATATCGAACGAATACAAACAAATATATGTAGAGCAAATGTAAAATATTTAGTTATATAAAATTTGATCATTAATATGCAATATCAAACAACGATATAAAAATATGTATTCATCCAGATTATAATTTGACGAACTCTGTTCTTCACAAAAAAACAAGCCACAAACAATTTGAGGTTTTTTAATAAATGTATTTAGCAGTATAAGTGAGCTAGAATACAATGACATTTTTCAATATTGTGATAACTGAATCTTACTATTAACAAGCACTTTTGAGTTAGTAATCAATTCAAATAAAGTTACGTGAATATGCAGTTATGAATGATAATTTTGAAATGTATTCGATTATACATTGTTACATCATATGACTGACAAATAATGCTATCAAATTAATAATTATTTATCGGAAGTCCGTTCCCGTGAAAATGATTTCAATTCAAGGACTTCTTCCATGTCCAGGTTGTTAAGTATATTGGTTATCTCTTTCCCAATCTTGTCCTCTTTGCTAGCTTTGCTAGCATCTGCATTTAAAAAAGTATATAAAACACATGAATGAATAGGATTAGTCGACTGGAATTATCAAATTAACTGCAAATGTGAATAACAATGACTTACATGAATACATTAGTTCAGAGAATATTAACATTGGGGGTAAATTTCACAAAAGCAAATCATATCCTAAGGATATACTCGACAGAATGAACATAATTAGACATCTGTAATAGAAGGAAAGGGTTTTATGAAGTTATTAAACTCACTACTATGAATGATGAATGATGAATAACAATTATATATGCGAACACATTTTGTCGGAGATAAATTCTACAAAAAATAAACAAATATATTTCCTAACGAAATGAAATAAATAATCATAATAAATAAATACATCAATAATTAGTAATTAATATGTAGGAATGTGAACTGACTTGTTGTACTTGTATGTGACCAGTATAAACGAAGAAACATTATTTCCAGTCAACTAGAGTGATAACACAATTAGCGAATGTACATAAGAGAAATTTTGAATTTGGGCCAGAACGGATAAATTTATTAATACTATGTTTTCGATTCGTACAAAACAATGGCAACATTCTTACCCTCGATCTCGTCTCGTCTTCCATTTTCTTCATCTAACAAAATTGCATACCATTCTGATAAACGGAAAATAATTTTAATGTCTATGTTTGTACCAGTAAGAGTACTATACAAAATAGTTGTTTTTGTCCCCCCCCCCAAGGTATATAAATATGATGAATTAAGCGATAGTCAAAATTAGTAATTATGTTACCAATACATCTCCGAAATATACATGTTCATTAATAAGGATACTGATAATGTATGATATATATCATGCACATGAAACATGACACTCCGTCATACCGGCTCACAACACTAATATCGAATTCTTGATCCTGTGATGTTACTACGTTTGTAGTGGCTCTTAATATGTTCCAATAATGAACAAATAAAATTTTACACACTGATCTAATACTGTCGAGTCATTCAGTAAGTCATACATATTTATGAATGTTTAATACATGCTTCTAAATAAATAGTTTTTTTTTTGTCCAAGTATTTTTTGACATATAATTGCAAATTAATGATTGTAAAAAAATATTCTTTATAGTTTTGTTTTGAACTTTAGTGAAACCAACAACCGCCAGTGTATTGCACGTTGTTGGGGTCACACGTGAATTGCAATATGTTAATTACTGCAACCAGTGCATACGACTTACCGGGATAGCAATATCCCACGTGGTTATGTTTTACAACACACACCTTTCCCTCTGAACACACAACTCCATGACAAGCATTGCCTGTAACAATACGTGGAGCAAATAATGACAATTATGATTATATTAAAATACAAACAGGTGAACCTGTTATCCATAATTGCTGACGTCATGTGTGTGCCTTAACATAGATTACAACATTGACAATAATTTCAGACACAATCAGTATGACTATTTCCCAAGACATACTAGCAGCAAGTACTCCATTTGCTTTAATGCTATGGGTGTAATAGTACTTTCCAAATAGTTTACGCGTTACATTATCTAGTATTTCAACGTCCCCGAGCCGATATAGCGACTGCAATTCGACAAAATACGATACACTCTAAAACATAATGGATTTCCAAACAAAAAGCGGGTAGGTTAAAACTACGGAGGTGATCTCTGTCATACCGATAAAATGGCGAGTGGGGAACAGACTTGTCTGTAATAATCGTCATATTCTGTGATATCCCTGTAAGTTTTAATTATTAAGTTGAAATCACATCGAATAGTTGCTCTCACCACCAAACTAATTTATAATTTAACAAAAATAGTTTTAATTGAGCGTAAATGTGTAATATTGTGTACCATGCCATATTGTTTCCCTGCTTACTCAACGGCTTTAAGAACACTCATTTCATTAGCTCTGCATGAATACTAAATTATGTATAGTCAGTATGTGAGTGAGTGTCAGGAAACAAAGTTCCATGCGTAGGTGTCACCCTGCCTGTACTTTTAAACCCTGTCTCACAAAGACAGACACTTAAATCAACATTTTATCCAAACGGTATCAGTCTTTGCAATAGAAAACAAACTGGAAAAGATTAAAGTACGTACGCTTATAATTATCCAGAAATTTAGCAAACACTGATTTCTTCAGCGGCAAGGCGGAGTACGTGGAACACAGCAAACAGCTGATTAACGTCACTATGACGAATCTCATCTTGTCCTGTATATACAAACAATATAATCAGTATTTGTACTCAATCCTGTCTGTGTATGCTAAGAGGTTTACACAGAATACAATACAATCGAATCACGGTGGCATCATAATGAGGCTAAGATCAGTGTTTGGATGTTCTTGAAATCTAAGATGTAATTCCTGCACATACAAGAAACAATTTGATTAAATTGAACCTTCTTACTTCAGTCAGTGTGATAAATAGTTGCTTCTAGATTGATAATTTGTAAAATAAAACAACGAATATTTCACAATAACAAATAAAATTCCGACTTACAATGCGATAGTTATGTAAGGAAGGAGAGTCCAGTTACTACCTGTTACAGGATGCGACGACGTCTAAGTACCAACACTATATAAAGGCTGGGGTTGATAAATGTGTGTGTATCATTAATGTGGTACATACATCATGTTTGCGCCTACGTAGCACTGAATTGTCACATATTACGTGATCAATTTGGGCTAATTTATGAGAAGTACCGCGGCCATATGCTTGAAAATAAAATACACTCAACAGATACAAATTTATGATATAAATATGCAATATATGTGTCTTTGTCAATGGCATGAGATCGAATTATGATAGTCCGGGACACTGGGTAAATGCATGGCTTCAGAAAGTTCAGTTTTCAATTTATCGCCTAATTAGTTATAAAAGGTCACCTATTGGTTATAACATGCTGCGCGCCGTACATTCTGACATGATTTGAATGCAAAGAAAGATGTCTTTGTCTGTTGGGTAATATAGTCACCAGGTTCGAAAACTCTGATATTGTGAATTACTCTAGCATTGTGTGTGTTGGATGAAGACAATGTATTACGTATGACGGAATTTATGCAAATGGATATAAGTAGAGATCAGCCGGGGAGACCAGTTACAATCACTGTAAAGTGTTTTTGTATACTAGTCTTCAGTGTGAAATTTAACCTCAGCGATCTGTGACCGATGGCAGTAATGGACCTCGTGTCTAGTGACAAATAACCGATGTAGATTGTCAATTTGTAGTAGCCTCCAGTGCGATACAGTCGTATATTACGAAGAGCATGAAAAAACATTTTTTTACCGTTTGTATGAGATAAAAAAAACTAACAGTGTGCCATAAATTTTGATCGATGCTCTTGGTGTGTGGGATTTCTTCCCAACATACGTTATTAAACACAGGAAAAGTTTTAAAAGTGTGAGATGCAAGCGCAGTGCCGCCTCCGTATGTGACACGCCAATCCACCAACTGTACACAGTTTAGTGTGCATGTAGACGTACTGAAAGTCGTTGTGTGAGAAAATACATATGATATGATGTGATAAATATTAGTGAAATGCGATTACAATCACGTCAAATAAACACAATAGATGCACGCCTTGTTATACCATTACACATTTGTGTAAACTCATGTTTTGTTTGGTACAATCATTCAGGAAGAGTCATACTGAAATTATCGTCAATGATGTAATCTATGATATGACATACAGTAAAGGTAGTGACACGTAGGTTATCTGAATAGAATTTGGCTTGATCAAAACAAAATAATGTACTCTAAATTAGTTAGTTGATTGAGTAGTTTTGGTTGGCGCGTAAATACAACTATGTTGATACCATATAATGTTGCCAGTAGTATATTAAGAAACAAAGCTCTGCAGACTTTCTGGAAAACGTCTGAGACTGTGTGAGATGTGGATAGGACCATGCTGAGGTTAGAAGCCATCAACATCGTCATATCTGGCGACCAGTTGTGATCGGAAATAGAAATGACTTTTCAATACGAGAAACCTATACACATTTACATATTTAGTGCAAAGTAGGTGTACTGTTATATCTAACTTCCAATCTCGGTCATGCTCCAGTTAGTCAAACATTACAAATGTGCAAGACTAATTAATGTACTTGTATTACATAACTGCAATAAAAGAGATAAAATACGTGTAAAATACCGTAAAAACCACTTAGTCAGGAATTAATGGGTAAATGCTATTAGTTATATTCCCTCCATATGCTCTGTAATTGTCTAAGCTTAGTAGTTTATTATCTGCTTCACAAATATTGGGGGTCTGAAATACTGAAACATATAATAAAGGTGATCTGTCAGCTTGGCTGCGAGTTATATTAAATATTCTGACCATTTGGAATGGTTTAATAGTTTAAAACCTATGTATTATTTGTGACTTAACTTACAAGGCATACACGACGAGGCGCGTCTTTCAATCAACATCGTGTATACGTATCATCAGAATTATAAGATGTGAAATTTTAGCGTGAAGAATAATTTCACAATAAGCTCGATTAGAGAGAGATGACTTATAATCTCGATATAAAAGGGGACTTTTGTATTATGTTAAGGACATCACAAATAATGGCTGTGTGGCTCCAAACGATACTAAAACACTGTATACATTCGTTTCCAGTTTTATTGTATGCATTGTTGCACATATAACGTGTATTTGAGTTGAATGTCCAGAAGGAGTGATGTTTCTTGAATGATATAATAGCTATTGTGGTTGGGTGATATTTACCGGTTGCAGTAACTGACATAATGTATTTATTCAGTCAGATCACGTCTGCAGTAGACTGTGGACCCACATCAATCTGAATAAAAATGTCAGTGATTGTATACCACATAATTTGAAGCTGATTTATCACCAGTGGTTATGATTGTCACTATATAGATGTATGACCAGTGAAGGAACTGTGTGTTTTCTCACTTATGTGAACCCTTAGAAGTGTGTGAATGGTGTATGAGCAATGTAGCTACAACTTTTATGAATAAATCCCCGAGAGTATACGCATTATACTTACTATAGAGTTTTCATAGAGGTCAATACAAAACTGTGTAAAGACAGAAAACGCCAAAACTGATATATTTAAATGCCAATTAAAAATGTCACTCAGATGAATATCATTAAACTACAGCAGGGTCTGCGTTAAGATCAAAATTAATTTAGTAAATAGATGTTCACAATATAGCAAATAAGATGAAAAATTTTTGTGACTGATTTTAATTTGTACTTTGCTCCTTGAAGAAAGTAATAAAGGCTATCTATGTGTGTGAGTGTGTGTGTTTTGAAATGTAATCTGCAAGTTATATTTGCGGTAGTTATGAAGTGACTATCCGAACAGAATTTTCTCTTGCAAATGCAAATTATATCAATAGCTTTGAGTTATAGATGAGATTATTTTCCCAATTTTTAACAGGAATATCTATGTTATACTTTACCCACAATCCTTTGCTGGAGACAGACTATATACTATTGATGAATAGTTGATCATCTTGAAAATTGCATTTCCTATATTTGTGAAATTCCTTCATCTGGGAGAATTATGTTGTTTGCCCGCTTTTCCCCTTGTCAATACGTTGAACAGATTAACCCATGTTTCATGCCGATGCTCTGTATCATACGTCAAATGAATGGATGCATGGAATCAAGCAAGGGTCTGCTTAAACAGTTCGAACAGCTGTAGATTTTTTTTATTTCAGTACTAAGCCACATACCGAAGACAATTAGGAATTATGGAAAATCTCCAAAAATGAATCGGTGATTCTTCACGTTTATATTTATGTTACACTAACTCTAATTGAGTGCATGATTAAGAGGCGCCTCCAATTATATATATATATGGATTTTACCGAGGTAAAATACTCAACTTCTCGGTAGAATCCTACAAGGTTTCGTGGGGAGAATGTGTAGATCGAGCTCGCTAATCCGTGGATGATGATAACTCGAGTGTATCCCCTTCAGTCTATGTATAAATTTACCCAATCATGTTACAGTTTTATTTTTGCTTAGAATTTAGTTTCGCTAGTAGCTAATATACCTTTTTTTTCCCTCAAATAACAAATCGGTCACAATAAACTCCATACAAGAAACAGTCATTTCAGCAAAAAATAATTCCAGTTAAAATAAAGAATTTTACAGTAAAGTTTGGAGACCAATCTGAAATGCTGTCATTATATTTGCTGCATAAATGTAGAATCACATTTTGTATTTCTAGAACCACAGCGTTTTTTTACTTGAAGTTTTTTTACTTACACGTGTCACACATTTATATTGATAACTCTTGATATTAGATGAAGAATTGTTATATATTGTAATGTATTTTCCAAACGTATACAAATTAAAGGCATTAAGTTATTATATCATTTCACCTGGTATTCATATCAAGATTTATCCGTGTATAAGAAAGTTTATTGTCAGATTGTTGAATATTCATAACATAATAATTTACCTAGTTTGGCTATGATAATATGGGAGGTGGAAGTGAGTATAATTGGATGCTCGTATAACCTCATTAATATTCATAAAAGTGCTTGTAAACATACTGTTGAAGCGGAGTAGTCGCCACCTACGTATGCGTCAGGTGGCCATAGCGTGTCAGGTTGTTTACAAACAGGCGTCTACCCATGAGCATTTGCGTTCTTAGCGTGTGTTGTTATCATCGCTTGGGACCTAATTCCCGCGCGTGCGCAGGTGACGACCCTCCCGCTTTAAAGAGGGTGTGAGGTGGATGTGTTCTTAGCAACAAAGACAACGTTCATAGTAATGAGCCTGAAAACAACGTTTCTTTGCAACATTACCATAATTGTTAATTATAAAGATTATATAGGGGCATTTTTTATTCATAGCAACAACTCATAACAACCTGTTGAGAACCATATGAATGCATGCAAAGTTTTTGATCGCGAATGTGGAATATTATGTTGATAGCTTGATTATTGGGGTGTCCCTAGCAACAGGGTTCAACAGCATATCGGCTTCAAGTCGATCATTGCTGCTTGCAGCTATATTTTAATATTGTTGTTTGATACTGCATGTTTGTGACTAAATGGTATTACTCTTTACCGTAAACTAACAATGCACAGTATTCCTTTGATGAAAAGTAAAAAACACTAATAGACATGTGCAGCGGTTGTTATTGTGTGTTCGGAAACAATCGGTGCGCATGCGTATTTAAAAAAAATGTTAGCTGTGAATGATTAGCGTTTTTATGATGCGATCGAATAAAACCATAATTGTATTAACAATATTATTGCCTGCCAATGGCGTCTGCTTATTTTCAAGTTCCGGCTCGTGAATTGCGCAACACGCTATTGGGTGGTATTTTGTGCGGGACTGCTGGTCTGCTAATATTATCTAATTAGAGAGAATGTTTTATAAAACTCTGTAACGTACCCATAAGAGTGTGGGGACACTAGTAATCTCACAGTGACCATGGATGTGGGGGAAATATGACCTTCGTGCAAGACATTGAATAAGACGATGTCGACTGTGCTGTGAAATAAAGTCGTCAGGGAGTCAATATGAAGAACCAATCTC